TGTATACACACTTTAACAGCCGATAGCTCAATTTTCAAAATTAGTTGTATTTTAATAGACACTGCCTTTATAATTATTCAAAGTGTGTGTCTACATTTTGGGGGGAATACACACACTCACAGTGGGGCTCAGGGGTTACTCAAATAGTAAACGCAGGTTAGAGAAGCCTTTAGCTACATGTGTAATATTTTAATTTTTACAGAATATTTAAATGTTACTTCAAAAATATTTGGAACAGTTGCAGCAAGTTTTGAGATAGAAATTGGAGTAGAAAGAATGAATGGGAGTAGAGATGAGAAAGAGTGAGGTACAGATAAGTAGAACCAGGAGTATATACTTTTATATTTGAATCAATGAATAAGAGAAGAAAAAAAAGGTGCTTAAAAAAAAAAAAAGAGCAAGGAAAGACTAGGGAGGTATGTAGCAACAGCTGGTTGGTGTGTGGGTCGGGGGGGGGGGGTGGGGTGTGTGTGTGTGTGTGTGTGTGTGTGTGTTAAGGCTCCAAGTTGTTAGCAGGGGTTATGCAACCTGGGCAGTCAGGATTCACATATTCAGAGCTATCTTTGCTTCTGTTGCTAGGCAGCATCCACTGGAATGTACATCCACCATGTGAAAGCTGCTACAGGCAAACAGAAATCCCCATGTTCAGAGCTGGCATAACCAAATGTATAGGGGTTATGACTACTTGCTTTAGTACAGAAACAGTTTTATGACATTTACTGACTACAGATGACAGCTGACCTATGAGAGGGAGGAGGGTGAGTCTTTATCCCACTGCTGCAGATCCCCTTTAATCAACTTCAGGTCTTACTAAGAAAATGGAACTTGTTTCTAGTGACATTGGTGTTTCCAGGGAGATAACTGAGTTAAAAGGTTGTGGTACAACACTGTTCTTGGTCATTGTCTTTGAGCTTAATGCTAATTCCAAGAAGTATAGGGTGTCCCCCAAAAATGTACACACTGCTGATAACACACGTAATTCTGAAAATGAACTGTATTAACACTGACTTTATAATCATTCAAAGTGTGTAGAACAGCTGATAACTCACTTAATTTTGAAAATGAGCTACATGTTAATAAACACTAACTTTATAGTCATTCAAAGTGTGTATACATTTTTTGGGACACCATGTATATATGTAACACTTGAGAATTATGCCTGGTGAGGTGTTCCCAGCCCTTTGTTCTTACAATAAACAGTCAAAGGGAAATAATGTACTTTCTCTTATTAATTTTGGGTGATTAATAGTTAATACAAGCTTTTCCTATTGATAAGGCAACAAGTAGGATTTGTTAAAAACTCTATTAGAATAAAAGTCACTTCAAAAACATCAAAATAGCAACCCCATTTTCCCTTGAGTACTGTAATATAACACTATACTCCCATGGATCCTTTTATGCAAAACACAAAAGCTTTCCTTAAAAGTAAATCCCCATATTTCTAGGTCTCAAAGGGTAGACTATAGCTGGGATCATAGATAAGGCAATAAGGTAGCTTGGATTAAAACAAAAACAAAAACAGCAAGGTGGGGAGTGTGATGGAGAATTTTAGTGCAAGTCTAAAAATGACATAATCCTTTGTTTCTGATAGAGTGTACTAGTCTTGATCTTTTATAAATCAGAGACAAAAAACTGTATTGTGTTCCTAATCCAAACAAAACCATAGGAGATTGGTTTTAAGAAATCACAGTGAACGAGACTAGGAAAAGAAGACTTGAGTTTTCATTCTTGGTTCTTCCACCAGCTCCTTGGACAACCCTAGGCAAGTAATCCCACTTAGCAGAGGCCTCATTTCCCCATACATAGAATACAGGACTTGGACTGCCCAGGAGTCACCAAACTTCAGCCCAGGTGAGTCTTTGTATGGTCATCAAGCTAAGAGAATGTTTTTTTTTATATTTTAAAAGGGTTAAAAAACAAAGCAAATCACAAAGGCGTATATATGACAGAGATGCTATTGGCCCACAAAGTCTAAAAAATATATGTGGTCCTTTACAGAAAAAAAGCTGCTAACCCTTGCACTAGAATAAGACATTTGAAAGAGTCCCAGCCTTCTGGGACCCAACATTCAGAGATTACAGTAGGATTTGTGGTAGAACCCAAAGATCTACATTTTTAAAGAGGTTTTTTTTTTTAGGTTACCCTGAGGCATATCTAGGTGTGAGATCCACTGGGACAGATGATCTCCAAAGCCCTCTAGCTCTTTCTAGGATTGGGCATTCTTCTATAGAGAGTGGTCTTCTGATAATACCCTGAAACAAGTTTTCTTGCCAGAGGGTTTATTTTGTTGTTTGCAAAATGATTATCTCACTGTATTTGGATCCCAACTTTGCCATTTGTTGGGTAATCTTAGCTAAGTTACCTAATTCTTCTTATCCTTAGGTTCCCCATCTATAAAATGGGGATGTCACTGTCCATCTCAGAGGTTTGCCCTAAGGACTGAATGCAAACCACCTAGCACGTGTTTGGACCGACCTGGACGCTCAATAGATGATTACTATTATAACTGATTAAACTGTGTTATCATTAAATCTCGGCCACTCACCATGCAAAAACAAAATGTTAGGCTACTACCTTTGAAAATTATCTATGAAAGAGTTAGAAAGGTTGTTAGAAATAAGAACATATCCTGTTAACAGAGGCCAAAATCTCTTGTATTTCTCTTTACTTTCACAGTGTGAAGGTATCTAGCTGGTAACACATCACATGAAAGGACACTAGGAGTAGACCTGGGCAAAAACTAAAAAGTGTGAAATTTTACTTATAAAGTTTTCTTCCTACTCAGTCAAGCTAACAAAATGACCAGTTCAAGTCCTCACACTTGGTCACAGCAGCAGGTCACTTTTATAGGGCTATTTCCCTGTTTGGTTTTGGAAAGCCTGATCATGAAGGAAGAACAGAGGTCTTTGATTTTTTTTAAACCACATTAACTTTTACTTATCATTCAACACTAGCGAGCATTCAACACTAGTGAGCCTTTTTTTTTTTATGTAAGAAAGTACTGAATCTCTTACTTTACAAGTAATATCTAGACCATAGGAATTTTCTCCTCTACTTGTCGCGCCTCCCATTTTTTCAATTCTTGAGATCACTCCCAAAGGAACATCAAGTATTAGAGCAGAATCCTGTAATGGACAAAAATATAAAAGTCAATATTTCTGTCAGTATAATTAAAATGTCAAAAATAAATTTAAATCCACCGTATGCTTTCAGGGTGTTTAATCTTTGCCCTTTTACCACTTTTTATAAACGAAAATATGATATAGATCACACATGAAAGAGCAAGCATTAAAATAATCAGTTATGCAACCAAACTGCATTCCCAAACATGTGCCATTCTGCACTGCCTACAAAATGAAGACTAAACTCCTAGGTACACAATTCAAGGGCCCATGATGCTGCTTCCAGCCTGTCTCTGCAGGCTTCTATCCCATGACATTCTGTGCTCCAACTAAATGAACGCCTTCACTGTTCTTCAAAAATTTCATCTACAATCAGGCCTATGTACTTTGTGCATGGTGCTCCCTTTGACTAAGATGATCTATCTTTCCCAACTACCAAAATTCTTCCTGTGGCTTCAGTCTAGGCTCAGCACGCATCTCACGTCTCACGAAGCCTTGCTTTCCAATTAGATCACACAGTATTGTCCACTTTCTCTTCTGAAGTTCTACACTTGATTCAGACTGCTGTTACACCACTTGCTTCACTCTATCTTGTTATCATGAACTTCTATGTCTGTATTCCCCCACTAGAAGCCAAGCACCTGGAAGTCATGCCGATCTTAGGCATGAGTACATTTCTCAAATCGGAAGGACCTGAATGTATAGCAATGCTTCTCCATCATTTCTTATTCAATGCTGGCTACAAGGATTCCATAAGACTGCTGGCATGATGAAATCACATTAGCAAAGTCATTCTGTAATCCTTGCAACAAGGTAACTACAGCTGCCACACACAGAATTCCTCATCTGTGTCAGGTAGCACAACAGGGGCTTGGCATGCATCATTTCATTTTATCCTCACAACCATTCTGGATATAGGTGAAGTATTCCCATTTCTGGTTGTGGCAACCAAGGCTTTAAAAACTTTTAGTAACTTGCTTAGAAAATACGAGGAAGGGTTGAGATTCAAGATGAGGTCTGGGAACACATATCAAAAGAGCGATAAAAATGGTCCTACACTTTGACTCCATAACTGCACTCCTAAGAACTTATATTACAACTATCATGCATCAGAAGGAAAAGCAGTATGCATGAAAATGCTCAAGGGAGCCAGAGGTGAAAATCAGGGTGTAGAAAATTACAGTTAGCCCACTCAATTGAATTAGCATGCAGCTACTAAAATAATTATGGTACATGGAAAAATAAGTTTAAATGGAAAAAAGCATACAAAATACACTGTGACTACAACAATGCAAAATATATATTTATATGGACAAAGACAGGAAGATGACTGTGTTAGATGACTTTGATAAAAAAAATTTTTAAGGTGCTTATTGAATTTTTGTTCTTTAAAAGATGTCTTTTTGGGGATACGAATGAAGTTTTTTCTCTTACTTTAAATCATTCCCCTTAAAACACAATATAAAAATTAAGCATTTCTTCATAAAATATAATATAGTTCATGGGTATTCCAGAAATTCAAAAAGTATAAGACTGTGGTGCATCCATGACATGGAATGCTACTCAACTACAAAGATGAGTGAACTATGGATACATGCAATAACCTGGAAGAATCTTAAGGGCATTGTGCTGAGTGAATAAAGCCAATCTCAAAAGGTCATGTGCTGTATAATTCCATTTATAATATTCTTGAAATGACAAAATTGTAGAAACTGAGAAGAGAGAAGTAGTTGTCAGGGGTTCAGGGGAAGGAGGGTGTGGCTATAGAGGGGCAGGATGAGGGAGTTGGTTAGCATTGACAGAACAGTTGCATATCTTGACTGTTGGTGATACTTACATAAATTTATACATGGGATAAAATATGATAGAATTGTATGGAAAAACATGGAAAAAAAATGAGGGCATGAAAAAACTGATGTAACTGTATTGTGCCAATTAATTTCCTGGTTTTGATAAAGCAATACAGCTATTGCAGAAGTTGGATGATGTGTACACTGGACCTCTCTGTATCATTTTTCAAAGTTCTTGAGAGTTCATAATTATGTCAAAATAAAAAGTTTAAAAAGTGTAAGAGTATGGTTATTATGATGTAGAGAAAAGAGCACAAGCTATTAAGTTGGACAAAAATGGTTCAAATCTGAGTTTTGACATTTATTAGCTGGATGATTTTAAGAAGTTACTGTATCTCTCAGCCACATTTACCTGTAAAGTAGGGATGATTAGAGATAATGGCCATAAATTACCTGGCATGGTGACTGTCACACGGTAGCTAAAAAACAATGGAAGTTATTATTATAGCAAAGAATCCCTTACTATTTGAAAGACGTAGCTGTGCTATGCAACTATAGTGGCTCAATATGCTCTGGCATGCAGCTACAGGTCTTTCTGTTTGTATCTATAAGGAGGTATTTTTTTAGCTGTTCATGGGATAAGATACATCACTACATGACTGAAATCCAAATCCCTGGAGAAAAAAGACACTACTCAGTAACTATGAACATACATAGCTGTATACTATAATGTGTTTATTTCTCAATACAATCTAATTATTAAAAACATACTATCAGGCAGTCTGTTATTATGCTTAGATTATAGTGAGATTATTAGTGTCTGTCCAACTGTATTCCTAAATACATAGAGTAGACACTAAATAAAAGTTGGATACTCTAACAAAGAAGCAAGAATGCAA